TGCTAGTTAGAGCCCTCCTTTGAGAACCAAAGGCACAACCCAGGCAGAGGTCGTGTGAACGCTTCCCTTGTAGTATAGACCCCTAGAGGACAATCACAAATGTGGCGTTCCCGTGCACGGAAACCAACCGACAAGAGCGCTTGGGCCTTGCAAAGTAAGCTGCTGAAGCTGCAGATTTTTTTCTCTTATCAGGCTGTTGTCTGGCGCTCTCTCATCTGTAGCGCTCTCTCTCCTCTCCGCGCTTAGTCTCTCATTCCCTTAGCACAGCCGATTAGGAAGGTGAGTGAGCCCTTAACCTAAGCGTTTTCGACGGATTCTTTTCCTTTTTTCTTTACTGCCGGCCCACTTTCGCACCAATACATTCGCATTCGTGTGCAAGAGCCACACCAATGTGATCCTGGGGCATGCCTTCGAGTTAATACGCAAACTTCCTCACCGATCCGAATCGCGGTCCATGATCACCGAAGAAGAATATAAACGAGTTGTTCAACTAAAAACACAAATTAATCAATTAAATTCCTAAAAACCGAATTTAGAAGATCACACCGCATCTCTGTTCTTGAGATAAAAGTCGTACAGGTCGTAATCGCTACGATATAACAGTTTGGTGTTGTCATGTGCCAGGTCGACAAGCCACGTAAGCGAGAATTTGGGTGATCCTGTAAAAGACGGCAATCGGATTAGGACCACAATGCCCTCTTTCAATATTGCCCTCTAGCTCGCATGGACTTTCAATTTCAAAGGCCATGCAACGCCCCTGTACGGATATCAAACATATTGAGAATATGTGCACCTTCATACGCATTCACATAATGTCCGAGGTAGTCCAGCATGTTGTTATGCACCAGTCTGCAAGATCCTTTCAGATGAACATTCCCCATGTGTTTGTCTCTATTTAGCCTCGTGTGAAGTGGCCTAAATATCAGTTGTTAAGCCTTGCATAAGATAATGGTGAACTCAAAATTGGAAGAAACCACTTTTTCAGTTTTTTCAGTTTTTTCAAAGTTTCCTCCTGTTTTGACACCGAATTGATCACCCACTATTAACATTCAATTAAGAATGTGAACGGATGTGCACAATCGAGAATTCAATGGTTCACTTCACTCCAACTATCATGAAACTTCACCAGACGTTCACACGGTCGAAATTCGAAGTTTCTCTCAAGCTAGCGTGATGTTCCCTTAAATTCAGCACTGTCCTCGATTTCTTTGCACTCATAATCAGTTCCTCTGAGCTCCACCTACGGAATGATAAGAAGCATTGACAATGAGGTCATTTGAC